GAGCATGCACTAGTGCACTTGGAAGTGGCAATGGGATGAAAGAAGTATTTCAACTCCTTACTAGGTCCCTCACCAGGACCAAGGAATCTGAGAGAGAAAAAAGGAAATAAGCACTTATTAAGCACCTAGTATTTGCCGATACTGTGCTAAACACTGTACAAACAATCTCATTTGATCCTCCTAACAATCCTGGGAGGTAAGTGACTATTATTATCCCCATTTTTACATAGGAGGAATAAGGCAAACAGAGGTTAACTTGCCCAGGGTCACACAACAAGTATCTGAAGTGAGGGCTTCCCGGCTCCAGGTCGAAGGCCTATCCATTGTGCCACCTACTGCCTCTAGTGTAGTAAGCCTGTTTCTAGACACACAGACCTTGGAGTTCCTGTAATGTTCTTTTTTCCTTTTTCCTGGCCCCAGTGACTGAAGGATTTTTTCCCTTCTGGCCCCAATTCATTCTATGGAGTGCAGTCATCCCTCCCTCCAATAGTTTGGAGGCTTATCTTTGTGAGGTAATATTAATCTCTTGGACTAAGGATAATTAACCCCTCCCCTTAGTCTGTTGTAAAATGGGGAAGGGGAGAAAGTAGAGGCACACTGAAGGGGCTCACAGATTCCATCAGCAGTGAGCTATGCAGTTTAACTTTATAGACTAAAGCAATGTTTCTTAAACTATGCTGCAAGGAACCCTGAAACATCTCAAGTTTGTTTTAAATTAACCTTATGCTTTTGTGAACAGGAATGAAAAATTACTGTAGAGGATTTTACTATAAGGATTCTGACAGTTCTGTTTAAAATGAAGGGTTCTACCATTATGGAAAAGCATAGAAACCACTGCTCTAAAGCAATTGTTCTTAACCTGGGATCTCCTAGGCAGTCCAACCAAACTGGCCTTCTCTCTGTTCCTCCATCTCATCTACTATTTCCATGCCTTTGCACGGCCTGTCCCTCATGTCTGGAACTGACTCCTTCCTATGACATATAATCCCTCTCTTCTCTTACGATGCAGCTTAAGTACCATCTTCAACTCAAAGTCTTTTCTAATCCCAATAGATGGTGCTTCCCTCTCAAATTATCTTGGTGATGTCATCTCCTTCCATGGATTTAATTATCATCTCTCTGCTAGTGATTCTCAAAACTACTTATCCTGTCCACTCCCATCTCTCTCCCAACTTTTCTCAATTCTAGTGCCCAGCCTCTTAATTACTCCCTATTTATCCTGTACTGTATATAGCTTCTCTGTACGTATTTTTGTTTGCTGTCTCCCCCATTAGACTGTGCTTAGGTGTTCAATGTTTATTGACTACTGAACTAACTTGTACAAACTTGCATTTATTTTCTATTTCTTCTGCATGTATTGTATATGTACTTGTCTCCTCTGATTATTAGTTCACTGAATATAGGGACTGGTTTGTTTTATGTACTTCTATCCCTAGCACCTAGCACAGTGCCTGGCACACAGCAGGAACTTAATATTTGCTGAGTGACTGACTGAACTACGTTCAAACATTATGTAACATCCTTTTTAATACCTCCAGTGGAAGCAAATCCTCATCCTTTGAGAGTGAATTTGATCTCTGGAAACAGTGAAAAGTCAATCTCAGAATTATGCCCAACTACTTCCTCTCCCTCACCCCCTCATCTCAGTTCTAAGTTTGTTCAATCTAGTTACGCATCTTGAGTCTTTCCCCTTCTTCCATTCACAAGGCTACCACCCTTGCTCAGATTCTCATCACCTTTAACTTGGACTACTGCAAAAACCTCCTAATTGGACTACTGGCAGCTAGTCTTTCTCCTCTCCAATCTAAACCTCCACAGAGCTGCCAAATTAAAATCATCTTTCTAAAGCACAATTCCAATCACATCACTCCTCTGCTCAAAAGTCTTCAGTGACTCCCTATTGTATTTAGGAGAAAATACAAACTCCTCATTTTGTAATTTAAAGCCCTTCATGATCTGGTTCTAACCTACCTTTCCAGGTTTATTTCATATTATCCTTAATGCACTCTCCATTCCAAAGAGACTTACTTGCCATTTCCCACAACTCAGCCCTCCATCTCAAGGCTCCTTGCTTTTAACACCATCCTTAACATATGGAATGTACTCTTCTCAACCTCTCAGAATTCCAATACCTCACCTCCTTCAGGAAGCCTTTCTTGATACCCTCACTTGTTAGTGCTCTAGCCTGCCTCAGATAATTGTTGGTCCTCACATGTTGCATCCTCTTCCCCAAAACAAGTTCCTTGAGGAAGATAGGAGAATTCTGTGTCATTTTTTGACTTTTTATCTCCAGTGCCTGTAGGATCAATTAAGGTGGGTGAATCTGGCAAATACCCTCCTTGGTCAAAAACTAGGTATAACTGAATAAAATAGAACTATTTTTATTTTGTTGCTCAAACTGTCCCCAAAGGCAATTCTGAAAGAATACAAAAAGTATTTTAAACAGCATTTCTGGAATAGAACGCAGTCTTCAAAAGTGGCTATGAAGGATAATAATTATTTGGAGATACTTAATGCATTTGTTAAAAATTTATCTCATTTTTTTTTTAATAACACCTCTTCCTCTTTCTTCCCTGATCCAAGAAAAAAACTAACAAAGCTTTCTATCACTGAGAAATCTACAAGGAGACTTAGGAAAGGTTGGAGACTAAGCATCACACAGTTGGGTTTTGCTGATATTTGTGCTTGCCTTTATCACATATTCATTCATCTACCCTCCTTAAAACAGGGAAATGATTCTTTTCCCTTAACCCTATGCTTCTCAAACTTTTTGATCTCAGGACCCCTTTATACCCTGAAAAATTGAGGACTCCAAAGAGCTTCTGTTTACATGGGTTATATCTACTAATATTTACCATATTAGAAATTAAAACTAGTAAATTTTAAAATGTTTATTCATTTTGAAATAACAATAAATCCACCACATAATCATATGAATAACATTTCAATGAAAAAATCATATTTTCTGAAACAAAAATTAGAAGGCTGTCATCGTTTTACATGGTTTTGCAAATCTCTTTAAAATCTGGCCTAGGGGGCAGCCAAGTGGTGCAGTGGATAGAGTACTGGCCCTGAAGTCAGGAGGACCTGAGTTCAGATCCGGCCTTAGCCCAAACATCTGACACTAGCTGTGTGACCCTGGGCAAGTCACTTAACCCCAACTGCCTAAAAAAAAAATCGCGAATAAAATCTGTCCTAATAGAAAACAGCTGGATTATCATATCTGCTTCTGCATTCAATGTGTTACAATATGTTGTTTTAGCTGAAGTATATAAAGAAAATGCAACCTCATGCAATTAGAAAAGGGAAGAGTACTTTAATAGCCCTTTCAGATAATCATGGACATTCTCTGATACACCAAAACTGGACAAGTGGTAATTTCTTAAAGGATGATTGCAATGTGGGACCTGGAAAACTCCATTTATACTCAAGAGAATAGGAATAAAAAGTTAAATAACAACTTGGTATTATCATGAAAATAATTTTGACCTGTCAAGTCACCTGAAAGGTCTCATGAACCCCCCGAGGTCCAAAGACCACACTTTAGGACTGATGTTTTAACCTATATGACAAGAACAGCATGAAAGTAGAAAAGTCTTTACAGGTCATCTGGTGGAACCTCTTCATTTACTAAGGCCCAAAAAAGATAAATGGCTTGCCTAAAAAGACATAGCTTATTAAGTTACAGAGGCAAGATGTTAAAACAGATCCTCTGACTTCAAATTCTTAAGAGAAAGCCCATGGTTAAAACCGTCAGTCATCTCCAGAAACTGAGGGGCCATTGTCTCATTGAAGCCAAAATCAGATACATAGTAGCATTTACTATGTGTCCCCCAAAAGTGACTTAAACATCTCAGATCCTCATCTATAAAATGAGGCCAATAACAACAGAGTTCATACAGGTAAAGCACTTGGCAAACTATAAAGAACTACATAAATCCTAACCAGTAGCAGTAGTAGGCCTCTTATCAAGAGAGTTCTAAAAGACCTCAACATCCTGCTAATATTTTAGAGACACCGAAGTGGTGCAGTAGACCGAACGGATAGTGGATTGAATCTGAATCCACATCTGGCCTTAGAGACTTCCCTGCTGTGTGACCCAGGGCAAATCACTTAACCTTTCTGTGCCTTAGCTTCCTTCTCTGTAAAACTAATAATAATAATAATAACTGCCCCCCAGGGTTGTTGTAAGGAAAACCTATGATATAATATTGGTTAAATGCTTTGCAAACTTTAATGAGACATACAAATGCTATCGTTTTGAGAGAAAAGGGGAGCTAATATTTAAATGGGAGATAATCCAAAGCACCCTTTTCACCTTCGGAATTACCACTTGCATTTACATACAAGAAAGAATAACAAAGTTATGCCCCAGCTAAGAGTCTGCCTTCTCTTGCCCACACTAAGAGGTCATTTCGTCTCAAGGTCTGACCTGCTCCCTGCTCCAGAGAGCGCTTGTGCTTTGTTACTGGATTTGGTTTGTTCGCACTGAGGCAGGAAAATCCACTAAAAAAGAAAACAGGTCCAGAAACTTACAAATATCCCACTCCCTCCCCCCCCCAAAAATGGATACAGAAGTGGATGCCCAAGAGATAGAGAAGTGCAGCCAACAGCCTCAGCTTCCCGGTGGTCCTGGTCCTCACTTGCATTCCCTTCCCCCCACACGTGGACCAAGCTCCACAACGTCCTCCCCCCGCCCCGCTCCAGGGAAGCCCTCCCCCGGGGCCAGCCTGGGGTGAGCCGGCAAGGAGAGGGAAGTAAAGAGGAGACGGCCAAGTCCCAAGGGTCAGTACGTTGGACAAAACTACTGCGGGGGAGTGGTCAGGGGAGGGGGAAGGGAGAGGCGGGGCCTCGTAAGGAAGTGCGGTGGGCGAGATGACCACCCTCTACGAGGAAGGCGCAGGGGACCGGGGGCAATGATGGAGAAGCCGCCGGTGGCAGGGCCGACACGGCCCCTTGAGCCACAGCTGGAGCCCCGCTCCGAAACCCAACGCCCCTACCTTCGATTTCCCTCCCAGTAGCAAACAGAGGAGACCTGCGCAGCCCCCAGAATTCCCGGCGCCCGGGGCAGCCACCACCGTCCCTTCCCGTGCGCAGGCGCAGACCTAACAAGCCGCTCCCCCTCCCGCGCCTTAATAATGCGTCACCCACCGAACTCCCCAATCACAAGCTGCCGGGTCCTGGCAGGGGTAGCTCCGCCCCCCAACAGAGTTTCCCCTAGACCGGAGCTGGCGGGATTACGTCCTCCATCACTGAGGCCCCGCCCCTTGTCGTGCGTCTCCCTCCGCTAACGATAAATTCCAATTTCGGTATCCTCCGCCAAGACACAAGTAAGTCATAAGGTGTTCTGCACTTAAACCAAGGCACTGAGCAAGTGGATACGTTCCTTCTGTGTGTCAGTAAGCTGGGGATACAAGAAAAGCAGGTTTGGAATGAAAGAAAGGAATTCCTCTCTCCCCATCTCCTGCTGAAAACCTGTATAATGATAGTCAACAAGCATTTGTTAATCGTGTACTATGTTCCAGGCACTGTCATAATGGTAATAGCATTTAGCGCTCTAAAGTTTGAAAAGACCTTTACACATATTATCTCATTTGAGCCACACAACAACCCTGGAAGATAGATGTTGTTATCGTTATTATTATCATTATTTCCATTTCAAATATGAGGGAAAGTGTCATATTTCTAGGAAGTGTCTGAGGCTGGATTTGAACTCAGTTCTTCCAGATTCCCTGTTCAGCTCTCCATGGATGGGCCTGCTAAACTGAGGATTAAAAAAAAAAAAATCCTCTCTCCCTTCCCCCTTTGAAAATGTAATTATAGCTGGCATTTATATGTTTTGTGTTTGCCATTTTGCGTATATCATCATGTGTAAAATATGATTACTTTTTCTACTGTTGGAAGGTTGGATAATTTAAAGTATATAATCCCCAAATGACATTCAAATATAACTAAGGAAGATTTTTGCTTTGTAATTTTTTTTTTGGTTTGTAATGATTTTTAAAGGTGTTATCAAGAAATATACAGAGGTTGGGCATATGGCTTCTGGAGTCAGGAATACTAGGATTTGACTCTTGCCTTTGACACAAAGTTTCTGAAGCTTTGTTTTCCACATACATAAAAAGGGGGCTTAATGATAACTGTAGTGCTTTTTTTTCCTTTTGCAAACTTTAAAGCACTATGTAAATGTCAGTTATTATAAATGAATTTGCAAATTCTGAGGGTAAAAGGTTGGAGTGGAAGGAGACAAGGATAACTGATTATAACTCATTCCAGGAGCATAGAGGTTGGACATAGGGTATAGATACAATCCATCTCTGTTGAAGGCATAACCATACAATGGGGAAGGTATCTCTCCATCTGACTGAGGGAAGTGGGGGTGGGGGGGAAGAAAGCAAACATTTATTAAATACCTACTATGTGCCAGGGGGTTATGAGTTGTTCAAGGAAGACTAGCACCTCTGGTGTGAGGGCTTGCTGAGCATCCACCTTTGGTATCTACCTGTCACTCAGCTCTCACCTGTGGCTCCAAGAAGCTGTAACATGCACAGTGGCCACGCCCTGGTAAATCTTCTTGGCAAAAGAGCTAAACCAGGTTGAGGGTAATGCACAGGCTTCAAACCTGTCAATTAATTGGAGGAGGAGGGTTGTCTACCCCAAGCATGTGAAGACCTCTCCCAGTGGATTTGACGAATAAGAACAGTTTTTTCCAATGACCGTGAAGGTGGCTGAAGCAGGCATTGGTGAGCACTTAGAGTTTGGTCAGACGTAAAAGACTCCAAGGTCATGCATTGCGTCCTGGGCCATCACCAGTCATCCTGACTTTTGTCTTGCCACTGGACTTCTATGACTCTGGAAGAGAGAGTGAGGCTGAAGTCTTTGTGCACTTCTGCCTCACTGAAATCCAATTCACATGCAAGTCAAGACATCACCCTGTGATGTCATAGGTCCTTTTCAAAAATGAAGGGCAAACAACAACCACAACCATGTGCCTCGCACTATGCTAAACACTTTACAAAATTACTCATTCCGTCCTCACAACTCTGTTTTGACATTGAGACCATAAAAAATATGAGGAAGGAGCAGCTAGGTGGCGCAGTGGATAGAGTACTGGCGTTGAAGTCAGGAGGACCTGAGTTCAAATTTGACCTCAGACCAAACAGTTAACACTTACTAGCTGTGTGACCCTGGGCAAGTCAACCCCAATTGCAAAAAAAAAAAAAATAAGCTAACAGTTTTGGAAGCAGACTGTGTATTAATCTAGCCCAGAAACAGGGCTAGGCTCAGGCATAAAAATGGGTATATGGGCTAGCTAGCAGGGGCAAGGGCTGGAAAGCTTCAATTTGGTCCAAAGAAAACTAGCAAAGATGCTAAAAGATTGAAAATTTTGTTTGAGGGACAGTGAGTGGGAAGACAATCTCTTATTTACCACTGGTATAGTTGAGAACTGGTTCAACCATTTTGGAAAACACTTGGAAATATTCAAGAAAAATTAAAAGACATATCTCCTTGTCAGCAACAGCATTAACTGTTTGGGGGGAATATACGTTAAAGGGGCATTTATTGGGAGGTTTCTATTGTTTCTGTAGCATCTGGAGGCATACTACAACTTAGGCAGAGAGCCCAAAGACAAAATTACCACAAGTTAAAGGTACCCTGGGGACTATATTTACTTGACACCCACCACTGTATTCCCTTTAATGGTCAGAGGATATAATTAGGTCAAAGAAACAGTCTTTAATGAAACAGTATAAGTAAATAAATCTGAGGCCTACTCCAATTCAACGCATGGAACTTTGGAGAGATGGCTTCCAGCCACAAGTAAAATGTGACAATGAAACTCTTCTAACTGGCTGTAGAATTAGAAGAACCCAGAAGCCCAGAGACACAGAACTGTGGCTGAGTTTGAATATTAAAAGGACAATGGTAATCTCTCAGCCTTCTTTCCTTCCAAGTGCTGAGGAAGCATGAGCCCCTGCGAGCTGGCAGGTGAGGGAGTGGCAACAATCTATATTCACTTCCTGGCCTCCAAGTGAACCTGTGCACCAAATTCTTTTTCTTTTTTGTTAATTCTTTTTTGGTGTTCCCAAAAGAGGACCAATATGGCATCACTGTGCTTGAGTTAAGTTACAGTGTGTCTGACTGTGGCTGAGCAGACCAAAGCTCAGGATGCTGTACCACAGGTTGGGCACAAATAGTCTACGTGAACATTTGAGCTGGATTCTCCAAATTTGCGCATCTCATGTTTCTTTTGAGCTACTTCAATTCTGCTTTGCTTATAGAGCACAGCAGCTTCCCTGACCGCCATGCCGAGGGGGCCTATGCTGGTGTCTCCCATGTCATACAATCAATTCCAAAGTTCTTAAGAGTAACCTTGAGAGTGTCCTTGTATGGCTTCTTTCAACCACCACGTGAACACTTGCCCTGGGTGAGTTTTCCATAAAATAGTCTTTTTGGCAAATATACGTTTGGCATTCAGACTCCATGGCGAGCCCATCAAAAGAATGGAAGAGCCTTCCAAGGTTCGCACACCCCTGCCCCAGGCCACTAGAGGAGGTAGACCACTCCACTGGTGCTGGTGACAATGGCTGACTCTAAAGGAAGTATCTGAAAATGGAAGTGGAATGCCAGTTACCTAAGGATGTCAATGGCTTGGGCCATCTGTGAACTAGAGAAAGGCATCAGTTCTAAGAGCCCAAGAGAGAGCTGCACCTAAGAGGAATTTCATGAGGATTCTATGAAAGGAGAAAAGGATTCCCAGGGTCAGAAGCTGTGAGGAACCTCTTAGCCCCATATATTTTTTCACTTGTGTGCCTGCGTACTACCTTTGTATGGATTGAGTCTACTCTCCCCCAAATGATTAGGGAAACTTTTTTATACTAATTGTTCTTATGATATCTTCTCAGTAAATCCCAAGTATAAATGGGTTTTTTTTGTTGTTGTTGTTTTTTAGGCAGTTGGGGTTAAGTGACTTGCCCAGGGTCACACAGCTAGTAAGTGTCAAGTATTTGGTCTGAGGTCGGATTTGAACTCAGGTACTCCTGACTTCAAGGCTGGTGCTCTATCCACTGTGCCACCTAGCTGTCCCCCAAGTATAAATGTTAATAGAGTTCATCTGGTTCTTTTATAATGGGAACCTACTGGATGGGAGTTCAGGAGCTACAGTGTTAGAAATTCTTGCCACTCCGTGTTATCCCTAGAACTTTGAGGTGAGTAGTAGTTAGACATCCTCTAGGAACCCCAAATCTTGAGTGTGATTTCCCCAGTGAGTCCAGAGCTGGTATTACATTTTCTCTAGAAGCTCAGAGAGTGAAAGGAATTTGCTCAGGGTTGTATAACTAGTTGATGGCGTGGTCAGTGGTGGAATCCAAGTTTCCCAACAGAGATCTTTTCCCTGAATTATAAAGTAGCTGTGATAAATTCTGACTCTTTGGCTATCCTGTTCCTAAGACTTCACTGAGTACATCCTACCACTCTGCCTTGACCACATTATTTTTTTTCAGCCAAAGACAATGTTTATTAAAGATCCACTATGTTGGCCAGACTCTTAAGGAATCTAAACATTTGTGACACACATAATGACAAGCAGGCTTGAGCAAGTCTCAGCCATTGGCTAGATTGTAAGAATCTGAGCACCTTAATGGAGACAAGATGGACCTTATATACAGAAAGACTGTGGGAAAGATCTAGAGGTGGCCAAGTAGTTTGGGGTAACTGGAAAAGTCTGGGAGAAAGGGTATGTTGATGGGAGTAGCCAGTAAGCTGGGGTAGCCGTGACCACATTTTAAAAAAATTCTTTTTTATTATAAACTTAACAAACATGAATGTTTTGACATACAAAAAAAAAACAGAAAAGAGGACTTTACATGAAACTGTGAACCTCTGCTATGTACATTTTGTTTTTTTAAAGCATATGTTAATTTTAACATGATGGTAATAAAAGAGCTCTACCTGGGACCCTTCTGAACTTCCTCCTGCTGCTTTCTATGTGTTTTTGAAACTTCACTACTGTTTTTTTCTTTCTTTTTTTCTTTTTTTTTTGTCACTATCACTACTCATTAACTCCCTCCACCCTCAGCCCTTCCTTGTAACAAATAAATATACAAAAGCAAAACAAATCAACACATTGGTTACATATGAAAATATAGGTCTCATTTTGCTCCTCTAATTCACCATATGTCTGGCAAGACTTATCATGACTTCAGTATCTTAGGTACATTCTAATATAATAATGTAAAATAAAGTTTTTGGTGTTTTTTTTATAACTGTCTTCTGTGTGTAGCACCCTGTGTAAGGTACTACATAGCAAAATATAAAATTAGATAGTGGC